AGGAGGGAGGGAGGTGGAGGACGAGGAGGAGGAGAAGGAGGAGGAGGAGGAGGAGGAGAAGGAGGAGGAGGAGGACCCCCTCGCCCTCCAACTTATGGCGGTGGTGGTGGAAAACGTGCCCATCACTGTTCTTCCCCCCAGCGGCTGCGAGAGCACACCGGCAGATGAGCTCGGCCAAGCTGTGCTCCTTCAAACGCCTCTGAAAGGTCAAGCATGAGGCGCTCGGGATCACAGGCGAGCACACACTCAGACCCCCTCGAGTCATGAAAAAAGCATGACGGGAGGTGTTTCGCCATTTTCGGCCTCTGGGGGCCCTCGCCGGCCCTCGGGGCCGTCGAAAGACGACTCAGAACGAAAAACTGGTCCTGGCGAATGGGCCCGGACCTCTGGGGGTCGCGTCATGAAAAACAAACATGACGTCGGGGGTCTGGGCAGGCAGATAGCTCGGCCAAGCTGTGCTCCTTTTCCATGCGCAACTTGGGAACCTCAGCGGGGGCCTCAAAAGGAGCTTTGCCAGGCGTCTGGTCCCAACTTTCCCGAGCAACTCCGGCTGTCACCTTCATCAGGGGGGTCTTCTTTCAGGGTCGGCGGCACGGGCTCTAAGGCCTTCACGATAGACGGTGGTCCTATGCCCGCGACGTCGAAGACTGACCTGCACAGATCCCTGGGAAAGCACTTCCGCGGAGACCTCAGGGAACGTGGCTCATGTAATTTGGAATGCCGAACGCAATGTGCATGGTCAAAATGACGCTGGTTCAACACAACGTTCGTCAATAAGCGCCTGTCGCTGGAGATGCACTTGAGAGTATTCAGCAGCGTCGTGTGACGCCAACGGTCGTTTACAGTCTTGCCAAAACGGCGATGACCACGTGTCCAGGCGAAAATGTTACGATCAGGGGATGCCGCAGAACTGCTCACGAATCCTGGGAGTAGGCCGGGCACCAATGCAAACGCAGAGTTGAACGAGCAATGACAATTTACAAGGTGTCTGTCTGGCTCGAGGTCATAGATGCAATTTGCTGGAACATCCTGAGTAGTATTTGCAACGTGCTCATAGCCGTCCATAGCCATGCGCTGACGTCCAGAAGGCCTCCATAGAGAGTTGGTCTTCCGAGCACCAGATGGACCGATTCTATCGGCCACTGTTCTGGGATCGCTCCAACACACGCTTGGAGCGTGAATTGGACAATCTTGCACAGCAGGCGATCGGACGCTTGTCAGGTTGAATATTGTTCCACACGTGCGCACATTCGTGTTGAAATACACGTGAGATGTGTGTTGGATATTTGCTGGTCTCCAATGCAACGCTCCCTGTTTGCTGAATGAATCACGCCGTTCCCGCAAGCGAGACGAGACGTCCTAGGGCGCTGGATCGGACTTTCGCTCGTTTTCGCGCCAACGCCGCGCACATTCATGGTAAAAGTTTGCAGCATGTTCAGCGGCTCGAGAGGTTGGAGTCCCAGAACCTGCGTTTTGGCTCGACTTCGAAGTGCCAAGACGCAACAATCACGGGGATTCGCGGTGTTGAAACCCCAAGAACGGTGCTTTGTCACGATTGAGGATTGCCAGGACGCAAAGGTCACGTTCATTCGCGGCGTCGAAATCCAAAAATATGTGTTTTGGCACGATTGAGTACTCTCAAACGGTTGTCAATAGTTTGGGTCATTCCCGCAATGAAAATGAGTTATTGCACGGATCTCTGAAGAAAGAACGTGGAGGGAGGGTGAATTGCAACATCGTTGATGCGTCTTGGGTTTGCACTGGTCCTCCTCCTTCTCCTCCTCCTCCTCCTCCTCGTGTTTTCTCTACTCTCTACGTTCCTACTGCTGCTCGTCCTACTTATCCCTCCCTTCCTCCTCTCTCCCGGCGTCCCAACTCGTGAAAGGCCAAGGTTCATATAGGGCATTCGGGCAAGCAGCGGCGCAGCACTGGGGGAGGGAGGGTCCATCAGCCGAGGCAGCCTGAGCGTCTCGAAGAACTCGATGTATGTCAAGTGGAAATTCACCTTTACGCGGACACCGACTCTTGATGACAGGAGGAGGGAGGACGTGGAGAAGGGGAGATGGAGGAGAACGAGGCGAAGATCGAGCTTCATGGACGTTTCTGGCAACTGTTGGACCTTCACACCCGCGCGCGGGGACCGATTCTCGCTGACGGGATGGGAAGGAACGTGGAGGGAGAGGATGTGGAGGAGAACCGAGCGGCTTCGACGTTTCCGACTGGTCCAGGAACCTCTGCGTGGTCCAGGGACCTCTGGAGCCCGTCCAGAAACCTCTAAACACATCTGGAGTCCCTCCTGCAGAAGACGGGGAGGTAATGTTTTGCTGAAAGGCGAAGTCGTCAAACATCCGGCCACCAGATCTGCCCGTAGTCGGCCTCCTCCTCCTCCCCCTCCGCCTTCGTCTATCACCCGCCCGACGTCTTCCCTATCTACGAACACAGATTCCTGCTCCTCCTCCTCCTTCTGATCCTCCTCCGTTTCCCTCCACCCTCCCTCCTCGTATTCCCTCCCCCTCCATCTCTCGTTCCTTCTTCTCCTCCCCTTCTCTCCTGCACCTCTGTATTACCCCCAGTGCCTTTCCAGCCCCCCCACGCTCCGTACCCCATAAGAGAAGAACGAGGATAGTGGAGGAGGAGGAGGAGGAGGAGGAGGCGGAGGCGAAAAAGGAAACAATATTTTTCTCTCTCTCTCTCTCTCTCTCTCTCTCTCTCTTTATGTATTAATGTGTGTGTGTGTTTTGTTTCTCTCTATATATATAGTTACGTCTTTCTATGTCTCTCTCTCCCTCTCTCTCGCTCTCTTTGACTCTCTTTCTCTCTCTCTACCTCTCCCTCGCTCTGCATCGGACGCCGCTACCGACTGCCGCCAGTCGTCAGGCAGCGAGCGATGCATGGCCAGAGGGCTTAGCGGACCACCACATGAGCGAGGTCGACGGGCGAGTTAGCTCGCCCGCCTCCCAGCGGTGCGGGTGGCGGGCTGCGCCTTCCTCCCCTTCTATGCAGCCCTCTCCGGAACATTACGGCCTGGATGGGGAGCTCAAGAAGAGGCATCAAGGCCACACCCACCACACAACCTTCCTCAGGTGCACCAGGGGCCACCTGGAGTCCGGTTTAAGACTGGAGTGTGAGGTGTGTGCAGAAGTGGACCCGAGTACGCATGCGAGCCCAGCCTCTGGAGCCTCCAGTGAAGCTCTCCGGGGCTACGAAACATATGAATGGTGTGCCAAAGTAGATCCGAGTACGCATGCTGAACCCTGCCACCAGAGCTTTCGGTGGAGCTCCCTATGGGGCCGCCAAACGTGTAAGGGTTCTGCAGAACTGGACTCGAGTACGCATGCGAATCCTGCCACTAGAGCTTTCGATGGAGCTCTGCCAAAAGTGTGAGAGTGTGCTGAAATGGACCCGAGTATGCATACGAACCCTGCCACTGGAGCTTTCGGTGGTGCTCCCTATGGGGCTTCGAAACGTGTGAGTGGTGTGCCGAAATGGACCCGAGTACGCATGCGAACCCGTAACCCTGCCACTGAAGCATCATGTGGAGCTCCCTATGGGGCCGCCAAACGAGTGAGGGGTTGCCGGAATAGACCCGAGTACGCATGCGAACCCTGCCGCTGGAGCTTTCGGTGGAGCTCCCTATGGGGCCGCCAAACGTGTGATGGGTCCGCAGAATTGGCCCGAGTACGCATGCGAACCCTGCCGCTGGAGCCTTCGGTGGAGCTCTCTATGGGGCCACGAAACGTGTGAGAGTGTGCTGGAATGGACCCGAGTACGCAAGCGAACCCTGCCACTGGAGCCTTCGGTGGAGCTTCCCATGGGGCCACCAAACGTGTGGATTGAGATCATGACGATGATGACGACGGTTATGCTGGAGATGTTGGTAATGATGCTGGTGATGATGATGACGACGATGATACTACTGATGGCGATGGTGATGATGATGACGATGATGAGGATGGTGGTGTTAATGATGATGCTGGTGATGCTGATGCTGATGATGATGCTGATCATGCTGGTAGTGAGGATGAGGTCGGTGATGATGATGAGGATGAAACTCATGATGTTAAAGATGGTGAGGATGATGACGGTACTGCTGATGGCGATGATGATGCGGATGATGACGACGATGATGCTGATGCTTATGATGGCGATGGTGATGGTGATGATGATGATGATGCTGATGATGAGATTGGTCATGATGGTGGCAATGATGATGGTGATGGTCGTTGTGATGGTGGTGATGGTGATGATGCTGATGTTGTTGATGATACTGATGATGAGTATGGTGGTGAGTAAGGTGATGAGATGAGAGAAGGTAGGTATGAGCATGATACGATGATGATGACGTTGATGATGATGTTGAAGATGAGGATGGAGATGAAGATGATACTGTTGATGGTGATGACGGCGACGATCATGATGCTGTTGATGATGATGCTGCTGCTCATGATAATGATGATGCTGATGGTGATGGTGATGATGATGATGATGATGATGATGCTGATGGTGGATGTTGTGGTGGTGGCGGTGGTGGAGAAGATGAGGAACCTGACAAGGATGAGGAGGACGAGGAGAGGAGGAGGAGGAGGAGGAGGAGGAGGAGAAGGAGGAGGAGGAGGAGGTGCAGGACCTAGGTGCGGGCGCAGCGCGGCGGCAACGCGGCGAATGGGCTGCGTGGCGGTGGGGGTGGGGGGTGGTCCGAGCGTGACCCCCACCACACGAGGAGAGAACTGAGAACGATGGCTCCCTCGGCTTGGCTCTTCGGGTTTAGCGCGGCCGCCTGGTTCACGGCCGCCCTGAAGGTTGTAGGCTCCCACGGCGGCATGTGCCGAGCGCGGCCCTTCTGGTCCCCCCCCACCGCATGCGCCGCCCCACTCCCAATCCCTCAGGTGGCGGCGGGGATTCGGTAGAGAAGCGTAACGGGCGGAAGGCGGGAAGTGGGATGGGGGCTGCGAAGACGAAGAGGCGAGAGAGTGGAAAGTTAGGGTGGGCTTAGAGGTGCCTCAAGGGAGGTAGGAGAAGAGTTCCCTGAAGTCCCGGGAGTGGTGCAGGCGCGAGTAGACGAGGTACGCGTAGCCCAGGTAGTTGCAAGTGTGGAAGTAGGTGCGGGAGGCCGTGGTGTGGAATCGCACAGCGCTCGTACCTTAGTGGAGATAGGCGTGGTGGCGGCGGCGGTGTGCTGACTAGGCCTCGTTCGCGCGTGGTATGTAGGTAGGAGGTGATGCCGCAACTGCGCGGCGTCACGTTTGGCTGGTGCTGCGGCTGCCGTGGATGGCGGTGAGTGCGTGTGCTGAACCAAGTAGAGAATTCGGGGTTTGTGAGAGGGCGGTAGCCAGCTGAGACCTGCAGGTGCAATCGGTGGAACAAAACTGGTAGGAGTGTGGGAAACAGAACTCCGCATGCTGCAGTGAGTGGTGTGACCCGGAGAGCGGTGGCATTGATGTTGGTTCTCCTGAGGATGAAGATAGATGGCCAGTGCCACAGGTCCTGCAGCCAGTATGGGGGATGGGTTCGGAGTTGGCCGAGTGTTCGGGTGGGGTCGTTGCTGCAGGATGCAGCTTTTCCCTGCGCTCTGTTGCCGTCCATTCCTGCGTGGGTGGAGCGGCTGGTGGCGGTGGCGGTATTCGATGGTCCGCTGCTCGCTGCCGGATTTCTCTCGGTAGCCTCCAGTGGCGGTCGGCGGTGGACGGTCCTGTCGTGCTGGGTGACCTGGTGGATGAGGTTGTGTATTGCCTTCCTATACTCGTCCAGGTCCTCAGTGTCTTTGGCCTTCTGCGCGCTCAGAACGGCACCAACACATCAGAAGACGACAGCTGCCTGCCTGGTGTTCGATTTGGTGGTGGTGATCTCCTCCGTGCGGCTTGGTCCCATTCCCCAGCTTTCGTCCGACTCGATCCTCCTCTTCTCCTCCTCCTCCTCCTCCTCCTCCTCCTCCTCCTCCTCCTTCTCATCCTCCTCCTCCTCTTCCTCCCCTCCTCCCCTCCTATTCCTGGGGTCGAGCACATTGTGGCATGCAGAGGTTCGTGCCTCGTCCACTCCGATCCTGGCGTGGCCCAGCCTGCCGCGGGTCCAACCAAGGCTCCTCGAACGCCGCGACAGCGGGGGGGCGCACGCGCGCGGCTGGAGGGGGCTCCCGGCCTCCCGGGACGCACGGCTCTTCACGAGGTAGTGGGCCTCGAGGGGCCGGGCGAGCAGAGGCGGTGTCAGCATCGCTGCTGCTGCCCCCTTCCGGCTGGACCAGGGCACGTCCGACCTGCCTACACATGTGCATGCATACACGTATACATACATGCAAGCAGCAACTCGGACAGACAGGCACACAGGCAGACTGACAACCAGGCACGACATGGCATGACATGACGTGACACTACATCACATTCCACTATAATGATTAACAGTTCGATGCCTTACCTTACATCGCATTACATTCCACTGCAGTTTGTGTCATTCCGTTGTATGGAATTGCATAGCAGTCATACATATATAATATAGTAATAACAAACAATAATAATACTACTACTAATGATAATAATAATAATATTAATACGAATAATAATAAAAGTCGCACGTCAAACGATGAAATTGTACTACATTGCGCTGCATCGCGTGAATTATATCACGTTGTTGTAGATTGCAGTACAGTGCATAACAATGCATTGCATGCCACTGCATTTCATACATGCAGGCGGTCGTACGTGGACACGGACATTCGTACGTACATACAAGCCTCTAAAAAGATACAAAATCATGTTTGCATAATTGAACACATTCATACCACCACTCTGTACATACATAAATGGACGCATGCATACACACATACCCAATTACTTCCATACATACATATGTACACACAATCAGTACATTACATTGCATCGCGTTACATCACATTACATTACATTACATTACATTAAATTACATTGCGTTACATTACAGCACAGTACATTACATTTCATTACATGCCATTACACTACACCACCTCACATTACACTACTCAACATTCTAGAACACGATACTGCATCAACTTAACTTACTTTGTATTAGTTTACGTCATATCGCATTGCATTGCAACCAGGCGCACTGCATTACAGTTGCAACGCGTTACACTACATTACATTATAACACAACGCGGTACTTGAGTTTGCCAACGAAAACGCGAAAAAAATTTTCAACCCATCTCGACTCAAGATGATCATGCCACCCAACGCGCTAGTGCCATGGTGGTGATGGGATGGGTTAACGAATCCCGATGGGAACTGCCTATCCAGTCGCACGGTGTATTCAAATCAGAAAGAGGGGGCCGAACGGTCATTAACTGTTCCTGGGTGCGTGGCTGAACTGGGATTCCGCGGTGTGGATCCGTGTTGTTGTTGTTGTTGTTGTCTGTTGTTTGTTGTTGTTGGTGGTTGTTGTCGTCGTCCCACCCGCAACCCGCCCCGCGACCCACCCGCGACCCCACCCGCGACCCACCCGCGACCCACCTTCGACCCACCCGCGACCCACTCCGCGACCCACCCCGCGACCAACCCCGCGACCCACCCCGAGACCCACTCGCGACCCACCCGCGACCCACCCGCGACCCACCCCGCAACCCACCCCACGACCCACCGCGCGACCCACCCGCGACCAGCCCGCGACCCACCCGCAACCCACCCCGCGACCCGCCCGCGGCCCACCCCGCGACCCACCCGCGACCCACCCGCGACCCACCCGCGACCCACCCGCGACCCACCCCGCGACCCACCCGCGACCCACCTTCGACCCAAACCACGTTCAAGGTACAAACCACCATTGTCTGCGCTTGTGGCGTTTTTTTTGCATTCCTTCCAGGTGGAGAGCCCGCGACCCACCCCGCGACCAACTCGCGACCAACCCGCGACCCAAACCACGTTCAAGGTACAATCTACATTTTTCGGCGCCTGCGGTGGGCATCTTTTGCACTCGTTTCAGGTGGAGAGCCCGCAGCCCACCCCGCGACCACGTTCAGGGTACAAACCACATTTCTCGGCGCCTGCGGCGGGCATCTTTTGCATTCGTTGCAGGTGGAGAGCCCGCGGCCCACCCGCGACCCAAACCACGTTCAGTGTACAAACCGAATGTTTCGGCGCCTGCGGCGGGCTGCTTTTGCGTTCCTCCCAGGTGGGGGTGGAGAGCCCGCGACCCACCCGCGACCCAAACCACGTTCACTGATCAAACCAATGCCGCACAAGCGCGGCGGCGAATTGTTGCATGCCGTCTGAGCCCGCAACGACCTCTTCAAGCCCCGCGCATCCACACCAGCCAGTCCAGCAACTTTGCCCTGGCGAATTGCCTTGATCAGAGAAGTCGGGGAGCATAAAATGGAAAGAAGGATTGCGTTGCTGTTATCTTGGGAAAGGAGGGGGAGGCAGGAGGAGTAAACAGGGGACGAAGAGGACGCGGAAAAAGAGAGGATGTAAGGAGAATGTGGAGAAAGAGGGGGAGGAGGAGGAGCAGGAGGGGGAGGAGGGGGAGGAGGGGGAGGAGGAGGAGGAGGGGGAGGAGGGGGAGGAGGGGGAGGAGGAGGATGATGATCGACGACGATGGGAGGACGATGATGGAGGCCGATGAAGGGGGAGGGCGACAATGGGAGGACCATGATGGAAGGACGAGGGGGGGAGAGCGAGGACCAGGAAGAAGAGGAGGAGGAGGACGACGAGGTGGAGGAGGAGGAGGACGATGACGATGAGGACGAGGACGAGGACGAGGAAGAGGAGGAGGAGGAGGAGGGAAGAGGGGGGGCGGGGAGGAGGAGGAGGAGGAGAAGGAGGAAGGGAGCGCCATCGACAAGGAAGGTGGGGGCCACGAGGTCCGCCGGCTCGGCGACGCCCGCGTCGCCCGCGCCCGCCCCCTCACTCTTATCCGCAATTGCGGGGTGCTACGTGCCTACTTCAAATTTGCTGTTTGGTTTCTGAACGTCGGCGAAGCTGTTCTACGGTCCTCTTTGGGCACTGGGCATAGCCTTAGGCCCACCTCGTTTCACCCAAACACATCCTGGATGAAAACAATTATCCCAGAGCAACCCTACCTAGGAGTTGGAGCCCCGAGGAGAGCAATATTACTAGTTACGGTAAACGTCGTCCTCCTCCTTCTCCGCATCGTCGCAGTTGTAGAAGTAGCGGTAGCAGTAGTAGTAGTAGTAGTAGTAGTAGTAGTAGTAGTAGTAGTAGTAGTAGTAGTAGTAGTAGTAGTAGTAGTAGTAGTAGTAGTAGTAGTAGTAGTAGTAGTAGTAGTAGTAGTAGTAGTAACAGAAGTAGTAGCAGTAGTAGTAGTAGTAGTAGTAGTTGTAGTAGAAGTAGTAGTAGTCGCAGTAGTAGTAGTAGTAGTAGTAGTAGTAGAAGTCGTAGTAGTAGTAAAGTAGTAGTAGTAGTAGTAGTAGTAGTAGCTATGCTATGATAATGCTAATGCTGCGCTGCGCTAAGCTAAGCTGAGCTAAGCTACGCTAAGCTAGGCTAGGCTAGGCTAAGCTAAGTTAAGCTAAGCTAAACTAAGCTAGGCTAGGCTAAGCTAAGCTACGCTAGGCTAGGCTAAGCGAAGTTAAGCTGGGCTAAGCTAAGATGAGATAAGCAAAGCTAAGCTGGGGGAGCCGCCAGGGGCGAGGAACACTGCCCGGCCCCTTTAAGCCCAGCGAGTAAGAACCCTCTAGGCAGAGCCTAGGTAGGGAACTAAAGCGAAACTCGATATGGCACCTGAACCATCGGGCCGATCGCGTCATCCTCTGAAGGCCAGCGCCCCGACGCTGGGCTTGCCCCTCACGCCCGCAAGCAACGGCGACGGATAAACACTTTATCAGAACAGCGCGCGACAACAAACGAGCCTCGCTTCAAGTAGGTCGTGCCCTCGACACCGCCGCCCACCTCCACTCCTGGCCCCTGACCAAGTCTTGAATCGTGTGCGCCTTCAGCTGACCGTGGTAGACCCTCAGCCCCACGCACCCCTCGCGAAGCGCCACGGCGCTCCACTCCCAGCAATCCTTCGCGGGAGAGGTCTGGGCGCGCAGGCTCGAGGGCACGCTCGCGATGGGCAGCTCCAGCTGCGGAACCAGCTGCTCCTCCCAGTGGGTCCCCAGCTCCCCACAGTCCCCCAGCTCGTGCCGTCGATCAGGTGCGCGCCGAGTAGCAGGGGGACCCCGTCGACGGACCTCCACTCAGGCCCCGGCGCCCAGTCGCTGCCGACCTCCGCCACGATCACCCTGGACACGCGCTGGAACTCGAAGAACAGCTCGAGCTGCGGGCGGTGCTCGAGGTAGCTAGCCAAACGCTGGACCGTCAGCCAGTGGTGCCAGCTCGGGGCCGTTATCCGCCTCATGAGATTTCCCGCGGCCTGCTGGATCTCGAAGCGGTCGCGAGCCACATGCGGCGCCGCCGGCGCCATGCTGCGGTCTGTTGTCGCATGCTCGGCGGTGAGATAAACGGCTGACTCCCTGCACTCCTTCCCGGTAACCTTGGACGAGGGCGCGACCCCGCGCGCCGCGGCGCTCGCCAGCCCTGCCGTTGGGCGCGGTGCCGACCGGGGTCTCGACGCGCTTGCGGTCGCGCTGGATGCGGAAGCCCTCGCTGCACCAGGTCGCCGCCCTCTGGAGGAAGCCCCCTGGCTCGGCCCCGCCTTGGAGCGCCCCCCGCCACCGCCGCCGCCGCCGCGCCGCCGCCGCCCACGCGTGGCGTGACCTTCACCTCGAAGTGCCTTCTGACCAGCTCGCCCAGCCAGCCGATGGCCGCCCGACGACCACCTGCCAAAAAAACATCGCCGTGGACGATGGCCAGCAACTCCCGCTCCATGCGGTGGCGCGCCTGCACCGCCACCTTGATCTTGACGAAGCACCCCTTCTACATGACCCCATGACCCCCGTGATCAGATTCCGGATCAGGACAGAAGCCCTTTCTAGTTCCGTGAAGAGCATTTTTCAGCTGGTAAACGATTCCTGTGGGCTCCTAGCCACGGGGCGGCGCCGCCTGGATGTCCTCGTCGCCGCGCGCGTGGGCGAAGGTCGCGGAGACGTCGCGCAGCGCGAGCAGGCCGTTGCAGCAGTTCCCCGCGGAGCACAGGCTCGGGGCGCAAGACATCACCAGCCTGAATGCCGCCAGCGGCGGCGCGCCCGTGAAGGCGTCGCCACTCGCGCCCCAGGCAAACTGCGCTGTCATGAATCGCGACCTCACCGACTCCCCACCGTTCTCATTGAACCACTCGTCGTCGACCCACATGCATCACACGCGCTTGCCCTTGGCTGAGCGCTTCGCGACCTTGCGCGACACCTGGGGCTCGCCCATCAGCACCCGCCCCCTGTCGCGACCCAGCTTCACCAGGGCAGGGCGGGGTTCAACTCCTTCCCGGACCTCGCGCCGTAGACGTCCTGGCGAATGGACTCGCGATCGCAGCAGTAAGTCTAAGTCTCGTTCGCGACAGCGCTGATGAGAGCTAGGTCGCACGCCAGAGAGAGGCTCGACGTGGCCACGCTTACGCAGAGACCTGCGATCATCTCCAACAAGTACCTGGCCTTCGTAGTCGCGAGCGCGCGGTCCCAACTTGTCTCGGTCATGCCCAGCACCGCCCCGTCCTGGGCGTCCGGCGAAGCTCGGGCCACGTCCGACACCGGGTTGTCCCCCTGCGCGGGTTCGGGCAGTCCGTCAGCCTCGAGCCGTCGGCATCGAGCTCGCTGGCTCCCTGGCTGACTTCGACCGCTGGCTGCGGCCCGGGCGCGGCCGCCGCTGGTCACGCTTCGGGATCTGGAAGAGCTGCGAGCCTTGGGAACAGGTTGTCCAGGTGCTGGTTTTGGCAGCACTCCCGCGGGTGGCCCTGCGAGTCGATCGGCGGCAACCGCCGCGCGCGCGGCTGCCTGGTGCCACTCCTTCTCAGCATTCGCCTTCAGCGAGCCTTCGATTCGCTTTCGGCAGGCTCGCGCGCGTGGGTCCCCGAGACCATCGCCCAGGGGTGGGACTCACGCGCTCTTTGATGGCCCTCGTGATGCACCTGCGCCTTACTGGCGGAGGTGCGGCTTCAGGTCCTTCTCGAGTGCCCCAGGGTGCACGATCGATCATGTTGAACAGGCTCCTCGACCATCGCTGCTCCTTGACTCGCCTCTAGGTGGCCCCTGCTGTATTCCCCCCCGATGCTGTAGCGAGGAGGTGCCCCCCAGTGCGGCTGCCCCTTCCGACCCGGGTAACTTTCGCCTGGCGTGTCTCGGCCTCGCGTTGCGAGACGTTCTGGGCCATGCACATCGCATCGCCGCCCCGCCGAACTCGCAGATCGCTCCGCCATAGGCTCGGCCCTGCAAGGGGGCTGATGGGGCGCGAAGCCACCTTCCTCGATGTGGTAGCGGGTCAGTATCGAGGCCGAATGGCGAACCATCCAGCCGATGTTCCAGGTGGTCGCGCGCGGGCGTCGGGCTGCATCTCGACTCGATCGAAGCCCCTAGGGCGCGAAACATGCCCTCGACCAACTTGCTGGCTTTCTCGACGACGCCCTCGATCTAAGGATCGCGTCGGGGCCCGTCGCGCGGGATGGGCCCCTCCTCGCGCGCCGAGTGCCCCGATCGACCGAGCGCCTGAATGGCTGGCCCCCCGTCGGCTCCAAACAGCACGCGATCGAAGCCCCGGATGCGCATCGCAACGGTCGTCAGCGCCGCGGCGTAATCGGCTGGCCCCTTCACCGTCGCCCGGGCGCTCTGGATCTCTCAGGACTGGTGCTCCAGGACGTTGAGGACAGCGAGCGGGCCCCCCTCTATGTCCCCCGGGAAAAGGCCGTCGATGCAGTCGAGCGGGATCAGGCGGCCGGGGCCCGCCAGCCGCCGATGGCCTATAGGGCGAGGCCAGGAAGTTCCCATCGGCGATGGGGACCCCCTGGCCTCGCCCTATGAGGCAGAACAAACGCCGCACCCGAAATGGCCAGTGCGCAGGGCCGTGCTGGTCTCGAACCTCCCGGTCGCGCGCGACCGGGATGCCCCTCGCCATCGCTGCAGCCGGCCCGCTTGAGGTTCAAAGTGGGGCCCCATATCCTCGTTGGAGCCGCAACCCTTCGCGTCGGAGCCCCTCGCGATCTGGTTGATCTCGGGCACTCTCGAACGCCGCGGTTTCCAATGGAGGCGGCGGCCTCGGCGCCGCCGAGGAGCTCGCGGCGGCGGCCCCGGGCTCAGCGGCTCGTTCGTCAAGGAGAGCTTCGCGAGGTGCAGCTGGGGCCTCGGCGTTCGGTTGGACTGGGTCGAAGCATATCGGCACGGTGGCGCTCTCGATAGGCTTCCCCATGCGCAGCCAGGAAGTCCCACCGCCACTGCGCGGCTTCATTATGCGGCCGGCATTCGCCGAGATATAAATTACTTCCCGAGGATCGGGGCGTGGCCGTTCTCGGCGAAGGCGTCAAAGCCCACGATCGCGCGCTGGACGTTCGCCACCTGGAACTCGATCTGCAGCGGCGCGCCGTCGATCTTGGCAGAGACAACCCGCGCGCCAATACTCATTGCTTCGTCGTCGGTCGCCGACTCGCAGAGCGGCGGCGTCTTTGGCGGGGGCGTCTCCGTCGCGCTCGCGAGCTCCATCGGGCGCGTCGCCAGCTCCGAGCCCGCGTCGAACAGCGCCCAGTCGCACTCGATCATCTCACAGAGGGCCACGGGGAGCGCGTCGCACTGCATCGGGTCGTAGAGCATCCCGACCTGCCAGAAATCCTTCTCGGGGGTGCTCGGGGCGCCCCGCGGCTCCTCGAGCACGCTAATGTTCGTGGTCTGGACCGTTGAGCTCGTCGAGGCTGCCCCGCGACGCGGGCTCTGACGGAGCTGCATCTGCGCCGGGGGCGCCGCCGCGCGCGTCGCGTCCACGGCCGGCGCGAGGCTCGCCTGCTACGCGGGGCTCCTGAAGGTTGGTGGTCGCAAGCTGCGACTGGCCCGGCTGGTTCTGGCTGGGCTCCGTTAGCGCTGCGACCTTCCTGAACCTTTCCTTGTGTGCCTGTGTCTTGCGGCAGGTCTCCGCCAAGTGGCCTGTCTTCCCGCGGTAGTGGCATCTGCGGGTCTCACGACCAGCATCCCTCGCGTCGCCCCTTTCGTCCTTGGTGTCCGCCGCGCGTTTCCCCATGGAGTTGCCTTTGCCATTGCCTTTTCTGGCCCCGCTTGCCGTTGCCTTCCCATGTGCCAATGGCGTCGACCGGCATGTGAAACGCGCCGTCGCCGTCCGAGCCGGGCGCTGCCCAATGGCGCTGCGCCGAGCAGATCGCCCTCAGCTCCGTCTTCAACTCCTCACAGGTCGCCAGCCCGGGCGCGCGCAGGCCCAGTTGGTCCGCCAACGTCTCGTTCTCGATGCCAGACACGACCACCCCCCGCGACATGTCGTCCGAGAACACGTCGCCGCTCTGGCCCATGTACTCTCGCGTCATCTGCTCAAAATCCGATAGGCTCGCCATCGCGGGGTCTGGGATACCGCAATGGATGATGCGGCCCAGCATGGCCGCGAACCTGTTCGCATCATCCGGTGCGAACTCGCGCACCAGGTGCCACCATGCCGCCTGGCCATCGCCCCTCGGAGCCTTCCTGACGTCGACCTTCGCCACGTCTGAGGCCAGTGAAACCAAAATGTATGATAGCTGCGCGTTCGGCGTCGCGCCCGTCTCGCCCTGCGGCGCGCCCACGTCCGCCGTCAGCGACGCTTGGTGGATCAGTTTCCCCGGGCAGGGGTGGACCGCGAAGACGTCGGCCTCGAAGTCGAATGCCCAAGTCTTCCATTCCGACCGCAGCCCGGTGAAGGCGCGCGGCTTGCTCAGCTGGCGGGCGTCCACCATCTGCACGTTGAGGAGTTGGCTTGCCTTCGGAGCCGCCCCAGCTCCCGCATATGCTGCAGCGTCAGGTTCCCTGATCGAAATGCCAGCCGCAAGCCGCTGCTCCGTCGCCCCCAGCCTCCGCCGAAGGTTCGCGTTCTCGGCCAGGACCTCCTGTGCATTGTCACCTCGAGCTCCATGTGCTTCACGCGCTCGGCGAGCTGCTCCACCGTCGCGGCTGCGTGACCGAGGGTTGCCATGACAAGGAGGTCACACCCAGTGCGGCCACGCTCCGCTACCATCCGCGGAAGCGCGCAAGAGTTCTCAACCCATCTAGGCTTGTGACGACACTTTCACATCAGGGCGATAGAACCAGAACATAGATGGGATGGATAAACGAAACCCGATTGGGACTGCTGCCCAACACGCACATATGTCACGCGTGCTGTTTGGTTTCTGGGGGTGCCTTGCTGCGTTTCACATTACACAACACTACACTACAGTAACCTGAAGCACACTACATTACATTACATTGCACTGCACTGCAATACGTTGCCTCACATTGCATTAAACTACTACGCGTCACATTCCATTACAGTACTTTACACTACCCCACATTACATTACATGGCATTCTATCTCATTGCAGTATCTAGCACCACAACACATGACATGTTGTTACATCGTTTTACAATCCACTACATGGCAATACGCTACAGCGCATGACGCTACATTAAGCTACGTTGGGTTTCACACGTGCAGGTAACTCAAGAATCATAGACATAGCTGCGTCTCTCATTCAAAATCCGACATATGTTTCGCGCAGGGCCAGTATCGGGACGAAGGTTCTGCGAGGGCACGTGATGAAACTTGACGCGGCCCCCCTCCCCCTTAGAGAACAACATGTTCGGAAGAGAAAGAGATGAAGTCGGGAGGGGGACTCGGCCTTCCCGGACACAGAGGGCGAAAGTCCCAATGCGGCCTGCTCGGAGACCTCACGGACAACCCTGAAGAGGTCGCCCTGAAAAAGATCAGTCTGGTGATTCCGCTCACGTGGTGCTCAGGACGAGTCAGGCGGGTCGTGCGCAGCACCCTCAGTGCCAAGGCTTACGCGATCAGCGAGGCATCCAGGTACGCCGATTGGTAACGGCGGGTACTGACGGAGCTCATCCTGGCGGCCTAGATAAGCACACCACCCGAGCTCAAGGACGTGAAGCCCCACAACGAGAAAATCAAGATGACAACCTGCACGGACAGCAAGAATCTGGGGGAAACCGTCGAGGATGACGCCAGTTGTCCAGGACAAAAGCTTCAGGATTGTCGTGAGCATGCTCCGGGAGATGTTCGCACCTGCGGCAGTGGTGCTACGGTGGATACCTACCCATAGCATGGTGGCAGACGCGTAGACCAAGGCAATGGGCACGGCCATGCGCATGGCATGCACGTCCGGGCGCGACAAGAAACCCGTGAAGCCCAAAGCAATCCTATCATCCAGCCGCTGACCCTCGCCTCGATGGCTACCCGGCTCCGCAGAGCTCACGGGAGACGAGGTGCACGCTCGACGTGACGAGTACCTTTGCCAAGGAGTCCTGCGCCATGAAGTGGCTCATCTACCTGAAGGGTTTCGCGTGCGGCTTCATGTGTGTAGTAGTGGCTTGCATCGTGATAACCATCGTGCGGCACCTCACCGGGCCGCAATCGATCGTGCCCATGATCAGACCCATACAGCAAAGTAGGACCCCCAGCCCAAACAGGTTCACGTCCATGGCGTGATTACGATTAGCCAGACTACCTCCGTGCACAAGCTTCGCCAGAACCCCTAGGAATCACGACCAGGGCGAGGTCACCTACTGCACGGACTACTAGTCCTTGAGCAGCCGCATCGTGTGTTGCCTGGACGCTCCGACGGAGAGAAGCCCGAGAGGCCACCGTGCTCTGCGGGCAGAAGAGGCCCGCCGGGTTGCGAGGTTTCAGGCTGAATCCCCTTCCGCGCGAGGAGGCCAGAGCGCCCCCAGCCGCATCCTTGACCACGGGTCCGAGTTCTGCGGCGCGGGGCCGGAGGGCCCTACACGCCCGAGGCCAGAGCCTCCGCCTTTGAGGCCAGCCGGACTCGGCGTGCTCTTCGTGTGCGGCCCGCTCCTGGCAGCCAGGCAAACGGCAGTCATCTCCTCCCTCGTCCTGTCTCTCTACCTTGCAAGTCTGACGCGTCGCAGGCTACCTATCTGTGCTCGGACAGTTCCACTGCCAGCTGTTTCCACACATGCCTGAGCCTGGCACGCTTCGACACCTCAACACGTGAGCGCCAGGATCAGTTGCTTCCCTCCTGTGTCCGAGCTGCTGCGCATTTGGACAGTCTTATGGAGATGTCAGGGTGAGGGGGCCGAACGGTCATTCACAGCTCCTGGGCGTGTGGCTGAAGTGAGGTTCTGCGGTGCGGACTGTTGTTGTTGTTGTTGCTATTGTTGTTGACGTTGGCGTTGATGTCGGTTGCTGGTGCTGTTGGTGTTGCTGCTGGTATTGTTGGTGATGCTAGTTTTGTTGTTGTTGTTTATGTTGTTAGTGTTGATGTTGGTGGTGATGTCGTTGTTGTAATTGGCATTGTGTTTGTTGTTGTTGTTGCTGCTGCTGTTGTTGTTGGTGTTGTTGTCGTCGTTGTTGTTGTCGTCGTCGTCGACGTCGTTGTTGTTGATGTTTGCTGTCGTCGTCCCCCCCGCGACACGGCCCGCGACCCACCAACGACTCACCTGCGACCCACCCGCAACCCACCCGCGACCCACCCGCGACCCACCCAACGACCCACCTGTGACCCACCCGCGACCCACCCGCGACCCACCCGCGACCCACTCGCGACCCACCCGCGACCGGCCCGCGACTCACCCGCGACCCACCCGCGACCCACCTTCATCAGAGCCTCGCAGACTGCCGACGTCCCCGCCGCCCCCTTACTCTCATCCGCGACTGCAGGGTGCTACGTACAGTGTTCATTTGCAGGAGTGTACGTAAGCAACTTGACATATGCGTTTGGATTGCTCTGCATGCTGCTGCTAGCTCCTGACCCTTGTGTCTTTCAATAAGATGACTCAAGCGTTTTGACCATTCAGCTGCACTCAGTCAGAATTAAAGATAACAGCGATATCACACCAGGTTATCCTGCCTTCCCCTAGTGGTCATCTGTCTGCTTATCTTCCTCATCTTCTCTTCCATCTCCTCCTGCTGATCCTGCACCTCCTCTTCCTTCTCCTCCACCTCCTCAATCCACTTCCTTCTCATCAATATTCCTCAATACTCCTCCCCCTTCTCCGCCTCCTCCTAATCCCCCGCATATGAATAATCCCTATCCTCCGCTTCATACCCAACCCCCGCCCTGCCCCCCCCCCGCCCCTTTCATTCCCCCACGGGGACCTTCGTGACGGTCAGGGTGCCGATTTTGCTAGCAAGAATAACCAAGGAGGGAAGCAGCAGGGAGGGGAGGACGAACGGGAGGATAACCGCGAGGATGAGGAAGAAGAGATGGGGACCTCCTCCAACTCCTCCTCCTCCTCCTCCACCTCCTCCTCCTTCTCTTCCACCTCCTCCTCCTCCTCCTCCTCCTCCTCCTCCTCCTCCTCCTCCTCCATGGCTCCTGGCCAAAGCTCACTCAAACCAATCCCCAGGCCCCTCCCGGCTTCCATCCTGGATCGATGTCTGACTTTCCCAGGGAGCCTGGAACGTGTCTGCAACGACGAAAACCCTGAAAGACCATATTGGACCTTCCCCCTCCTCGTCCTCCTCCTACTCATCCTGCCCCGCCCCCTCCTTCTCATCCTCCTCTTCCTCCTCTTCCTCCTCCTCCTCCTCCTGCTCCTCCTCTTCGTCCTCCCCAGGGGGGCGGGGGCGAATCCCCGGCCACCTCCACCTCCCCTCCCCCCGCTCGCTCTCATCCTGCCTCCCTACCCCAGCCTCCACTTCCACCTCCACCTCCACCTCCACCTCCTCCCCCTCCTCTTCCTCCACCTCCTCCTCCTCCTCCTTTTCCCTCTCCTCCTCTTCCTCCTTCACCTCTCATCTTCCTCTTCCCTCTCTCCTTTTTCTGTTCCTCTTCCTCTTCCTCCTTCTCCTCCTCATCACCATGACTCTCCTCCTCTTCTCCTGGGGTGGGGTTGGCGGCGGCACATGCCAGCGCTTTATGTCTGATCCCTGGGGGCCAGCCAGGCGTGGTGCTCCGGCTGCACCACGCTTCGCATCTCCTCCGCCTTGGCCTCGGCCGACAGCGGGCAGAGGCAGGAGGGAGGAGGCGTCGCGATGTGGAAAAGGGATCCTGAGGGTTATGCGCCTCTTCGTTCTTCGCGTTTGTTTGCCTTCGCGGGCCCTCGTCGCGACGGCTGGAGGCAACCGGGACAATTGGCCAGGATGTTGACACCTCGGCGAGGAGCAGGAGGAGGATCACGAGCGCGAGGACGAGTTTTGTGGGGAATTGTGGAAGCGATAGGAGGAAAAGCAAGACTGCTGGCAGGACCAAAGCCCCCCCACACAAACACACACACACACACCACACACACATTCACATACACACACACACTCACACATACACACACACACACAACACACAACACCCACACCCACACCCACACCCACACCCACACCCACACCCACACCCACACCCACACCCACACCCACACCCACACGCACACACGCACCCATAAGCACACACGCACACACGCACACACACACACACACACACACACTTTTTGCGTCGGCGGCTAGGCAGAGTGACTGCGCTGGCGGAAGAAGGCACACACACACAAAGCCGACGTCCTGATCTTTTCCCAAGGTGGACCCCTTGAGGTCTCGCCCCCTTTCACAGTGACCAGCTTTCCATCCGAATCGACTCCTGACGACCCAAGGGCCAGCAGTTCGGAACGGATCCCCGGACGTGGTGACGAGAAGCCTCCGAGAGGCCCCCCAAGCAATACACGACCGCCCAGAGGAAGCCTCGAGCATCCCACCTCGATCCCTCGGGAGCGGGGGAGCCGCATCCAAGGGGGGCCTCGGTGGACCGGGCGGGCCCAGGACCCGGGCTCAGAGGGGCCGAGGAAGCCCAGGACTCGGGCGGGGAAGGCTCTGGAACTCTGCGTCGTTCCCTTGCCCTTGTGTTTCCTTGCCCTTGCGTTTCCTTGCCATTGTTCGTTGCGCCCCATCCCCCCCTGCTTGGTTCCCCCTCTCCGTCCCCCCGTCCCCCCACCTGTCGGCCCGGTCTGTCCTTTCCCGTCGTCCACCCTCCCTCTCTCCCTCCCTCTCTCGCCTCTCGGCTCCTCGCGTTCCTGCCCGTTTCTGCCCCCCCCCGCCCCTTGGTCCGAACAAGAGTCGCGGTGGCCCGCACTGCCGCGCTGGCGCATAGCCGGGCGTGGGACAGCCCTGCAAGCCCTCGGCGCTCGAGCGGTCGGCCGCGCTCGTCGGTGCCCCCTGCCGGCCGCTGCTCAAACCCGAGCTGGGCAGCGGGCCGTTCCTTCGTGCTGAGCGGGGGGAGGGACACGCGATGACGGAGTGTGCTCCCAACGCGTGTTGTCCCCAGGCGCGCGCACATGCTCAGGGCGCAAAAAGTGTCAGGGACGATCTGGGGCCACCAAATCTGCACTCGAGTTTCGAGCGCCCGTGTGTGCAGCACGGGCACGCTCGATCCAACGCTGCAGACAGAGTGAACAAAAAGGAGCACAGGATTTCCCACGGCAGCGCAACCCGAGGAAGCAACAGTGCGTCCCCTGAGCTTGTCCGTTGCCGCTCGCAGCCGTGAAAACGCGAAGCTGGAGGGGGTGGGGGAGGACGACGACCGCGACGACGGACGGCGGAGCGAAGAAAACCGCAGCCGGAGAAACGTGGATCATACAACACCTTGTCCGCCCCGGGATGGAGCCAGAGCCCTCCTGGAGTCGCAGCAAGCGAAGGAGAAGTAGAGGAGGAGGAAGAGGAGGAGGAGGAGGAGGAGGAGGAGGAGGAGGAGGAGGAGGAGGAGGAGGAGGAGGAGGAGGAGGAGGAGGAGGAGGAGGAGGAGGGGGGGAGCACGAGGACGAGGAGGAGGACGAGGAGGAGGACGAGGAGGAGTAGGAGGAGGAGGAGGAGGAGAGGGAAGGACAGATAGAAGGGGCGAGCAGAGGGGAGATGGAAAATGACGACGGCGATGTCGAGGCGGAGGAGGGAGGACAATGATGATGAGGAGGAAGAGGAACAGGAGGAGGAGGAAAGGGAGGAGGAGGCGGCGCATGCGTAGAGCCGGGGGGGCGGTCGCCCACTCCGATCGAAGCGGGCGCCAGCCTCGGAGCGCAGGCTGCGGGGGCCAGCTCAGCTTCATTGAGCGGGTTGAACGCGTTCTTTCGGGGCGTGCGGCGCGATGAAGCGGCCTTGTAGGTGTAGTCGATCCCTTTGGCCTTGATCTCCAGGCGGCCACAGTACGACAAAAGGAGGCACTGGAGAGAGCTCGGCAGCGACTCTCCACCATCTTGTGGATCATGTGGACCCAGGCCGATGCGATCGAGCGCGGTCGACGCGTGATGTGGCAAAACCGATCGCGCTGCAGGTAGTGCGATGTGGAATTCGCATGCGCCAGCGCAACCGAACTTGCATGAACCGGCCTAGGGCACAACCTGCATCGTCCGCATCGTTGGCCGCCACCGATCGCATCGTGCACGCTGGCTGGCGCGCCACCCGCCAACCAGCGTCCGCGTCGCAGAACAGCGCGATGACAGTGGAAGAAATGCAATCTGCGCATTTAGTACTCGCCAGCTGGCACGAAGGTCATGAGGAGCACTGCCAGAGGTGCTTCTTCAGTGTGACCTCGAAGCTGTCGGGAACCCAGTGGGCGACCAGCGCATGAATGGGGCGGCGCCGGGGGTTCGGTTTGATGCTTCCCTGCTCGGAAGCGCGCGCGGCGAGCTTAGCAATGATCGCGGCCCTGGCCAGATCGCGGCGGCGACGAAGTGGGGCGACTAGCGAAGCGTCTTGGAAGACGGCCCCGAAGCGTTGGGAGCCGGCGAACGGACCCTTCAAGATGGGAGGCGACCAGTGATGTTTGGCAAGCAAGGGTACTGCAGGCGCGGCCAGCGGTTGCTAAGAGCTGGTTGTAGAGGTCGTGCCGCTGCGTCACGGCGCAGGAGGCCGCGCGCCGCAGCGCCCCCCAGCAAGTGCGCGCGCAAGTATCGCGGCGACGGCCCAGAGATCCAGTTGGCCAGCGCGTCAACGTCCACCATGCGGAAAGCGCTGGGAAGCGCCCGCAGCCCTTTGCGAACGACGTGGATCTCTGTGCAACGAGGCAGCCGCCGAGGATCGTGATCGCCGACGTCTGGCACAAGCAAACTTTAGAGTCAATCGGGGCAGACGGGGAGCCGATCGCAACGACTTGTTGCCATCGCTTCGACCCCGCAGCGTCCCGCCGCGCCAGGTTGTCGGCGCCGGGGCGCATGTGCACGCGGAGATATTTGCATCCCTATCGGGCAGAATGGCGGAAGGAAGTCGGCGACCCCGCCCCTGACAGAGCCGGGGGGCCGGGCCAAGAGCGGGAGCAAGATGCGCGCCTTCATGTCGAGGCGAAGATTGCCGAGGATCCTGGCCTGACGACTTACTTTGGCGAGCGGGGCGAGGGGCAGCTCCTGCAGGTGTGCCCAGGTCGTCGGCGCAAGCCCCAGTGGCGCCTCCCTCGTCAGTGGGTTGGATCTGCGCACTTGCGCGAATTATGATGCCCCTCGCAAGTGCCCAAACCGCGACCGATGGCGGACTGCCCTGGGCGACGCCCGAGTCAAGGCTGCACGCGAAGAAGCACTCGTTGCGCAAGATGGCGCAGCCGTCGGACTGGCCGCGCGGCGCGGCGACGGCGCTTGAACTTGAACTGCTTGGCCGCGAAAAGCCATCCTCTCCCCTGCGAGGGGGAGGCGGCTGCGTTGTCGACGGGAAACAAAATCGGCCCCTCGACGTTCGCAGATGGGCGCGCGCCCTCCAGTCGCCCCAGCGCGCCCGCGAGCACGATGCTGTTTCGGAAAATGCGGCCGCTGGTGGAGCCCTGCTGGATCGGGCGAGCGCGGCGCCCACCCTGCGCATTCAGCCGCCGGTTGAAGGCGCTCGCGAAGACCTTCGAGGTGGATCGACTACGTGCAAGAGCGACCGTGGGTTAGAGTCACCCTTGGCGCGCGGTTCATTGGGGGCCGCGGGGGGCCGAACGCGAGCGCGCAAGACGCCAATGGCGCGACGCGCTCGGCGATCGGGGGGCCCCACTGGGCCCGCGCCAAAGACCGCTCCAGCGAAAGGTCACTCTCACGTGTAGACGGGCGACGGTCGCCGGCCTCCCTGGCGCTGGTCCGCGCGCAAGACGTCTCGGCGCCCTTCGGGGTGAAGGAGACGACCGCGTCGTCGAAGTTGGGCGGCGCAGGGGCCGCCAACAGAAGGGCCACCTCGCCCCGGGAACGCCCAGCGCACGTGGAGTCTCAGCCCAGACTCGACAAGGAAGACGCTCGGGTCACGGTGCCGACGCCACAGCCTTCAGCGCCAAGTGCATCGCGGCCCTGGCCGACGGGGCGTCGAGGGTCGGCGCGGCGACGATCGGTGTCGCGAACTGCGAAACGCAATCGGCAAGCGCACTCGCATTCACTTCCCCGCGCGCGAAGATCGCGGGCCAACGCGCGTGCTAGCGCGAACATGTCGCGCAGGGTCGGTGGCGATCACCCGCGGGCCCGAGGCCTGAATGCTAGTCAGCGCGAACACGCGCGAGAATAGAACCCAGGCCCGACTGCGGAGATGCGTAGATAGAGCTCGTTGTCGTTGGCGTCCGCATTCGAGCGCGTGACCTCGCTTCCGGGCGCGCTGCGAGGCTCCGGCAGGTTTCTCTCCACAACAGCGAACGCGCTGATGGTGCGGCCGTCTGGGGTCCTTGGCGAATTTCGCCTCGGTGGCGAGTGAGACGGCGTTGCCGCCGATGCGCAGCGCATCCTGGCCGATGGCGGCCGCGGATGCGAGCGCGCAGGGGAGGGCGAGTGGAGACAAGGCGATGCGCGAGCAGGTTTGCCTCCGCCGGGATGCTGGGCGAGCTGATCGGGCGCGAGATGGGCGGTCTCGACCGCGATCTGCTCGGCGGCCGCTCAGCGGGCGGTCGCCGCGCCGCGATTAAGGCGAGAGTAGTCGACGGACACCTTTTGGAGTCCCGAAACGGTGCGGTGACAGACCGCGCGGTGACCTCGTAAGACCACACCGCGCGGTCCGTCACCGCGCGGTCTTGGACACCCGGAGGCCCCTGTCGCCCGAGACATCCTCGGATAACGACCCGAGTCCCAAAACCGTGCGGTGACCCCGAATCCCCACCGACTCACCGCACGGCGCGGTCGCCACCCTGTCTGGGGACCCCCGACATCTGCGCGTTCTGCTTGTGGCGCGGTGTCCGGGAGACATGCAAAGGGATGCGCTGCGCGTCCTCCGCGGTAGGCTGCGCGATGGCAGTCGCGAGCTCCAGCGCGGCAGGATCACTGAGACTCGCGTCGCCGAGGGCCCTGGCGTCGGCATTCATGAAGACGGCGATCTGCAGGTTTGGGCGCGCGCGCGGTGACGGACTGCAGATGGCGCGATCGGCCCTGGTCCCCCCGGCGCACGCGCGCCAAGCCGAGTCTGTTCGCCGCCGCTGACCTCAATCACGGCAGCGAAGGGGCCCCACCAAAAAGACTGCCGGCACTATTCGTGGGCGATGCTGGCGAGGGCGAGGGGCTGAGGCTCCGCGAACGAGACGGCGGGCTCACCGTGGATGCTGAGCTGAAGTCCCGAAGGTCAAGACGACGCGCGGCACGGGGGCAACCCTCGACCAGCACCGGCATTGCACCAGCGCGGGGCGAATATCGCGACGCAGCGCAGCCGCGAGCTCGAAATTGCGAACGTCGCGGGAGACCGCGACGCAAGCGTGACCAAAAAACACTCGACGATATGGGCCCAGCCTGGGGCGAGGGCCAGTTGACGAGAGTAGCTCGACAGGAAGCTGCGCGGAAGTGCGGCGGGGCGCAAGGGGCCCGGCCTACCCTCTCGCGCGCGCGGTCAGCTTCTGGAATCTCTGCTCCTCCGCCACGGGTAGCCCCCGCCCCGAGCAGCGCCGCGCTATTCCCGCGGCCAGGTGACCCAGCGACAACCTGCGGATCTGCGGGGAGAGGCCGACCCGCAGGGGGCGCGGGGCCGATGGCTCGACGGCAGGACGTGGAACGGCATGTCCTCGCAGTAAGACCGGCTCGCCCTCGGGCAGGGGAAGCAAGACAGGTGCTGGGCGTAGCCGAGGCGGGCGCCAGCCTTGAAATGGCTCGTGAAGCCGCCGACGACGCTCGATCCAGGCATCGCGCGCAGCGCCAGGGACGGCGCCGGCTTGCTCTGTGCCGCGATGAAAAATTGCCCCATGTTGACGGATCGGCAAAAGTGCATCCAGCGTCCGCAATGCGAGCACGCGTCGCTAATCGCCTCGGTAGGAGCGTGGAGACTGGTATAATGTTACGCGGGAGGCGCTTCGTAACCGAGTCAGGGGACAATCTGAGGTTTGGCACCTCAAATGCAATATCTATCCAGCCGAACGGGATGGCAAATCGAAAACGGCAGACTGCGTGGGACATCCTCACGACATGTTGCTTTGACGGTTCGAACTCGGCTCGAAACAATAGGCCCCGGGTCGAAACAAAAGCAGCGCGAGCGGCTCGCGCGAGGCCATCAAAATCAGGCGCCAGAACCGGTTCGGAACAGAAGAGCAGCGGTTCGAAAACGGCAAACTGCGCGGGGCACCCCCGCAACACTTGCACTATAGACAGTTCCACAACGGTTCGGGACAATAGAAACCGGTTCCAAACAATTGGACAACTAGCATGTCGCTTGAGACTTGCTTCAAAATGTGATTGGAACCAAGTTCCACGCAGTGGGATGGCGGTTCGAAAAAAACGCCAAACCGCGTGGCGCGCATACCCTCGCTGCATCATTTGGCGCCAGTTGCAGGAAGGAAGGGCGGAAGGACGAGGTGGGAGCTCGGCGGCGTGGTTGCCGCAAGCATCTGGGCGCTCGCAGTAACTGGGGGGCTCGGGCGCTGCCGGGCCCAAGCGGCGCTGATTGTATTTCGGCGCAACCAACCCCACGTCATAACGACGCCGATGGAGACGATCCCTCATGCCATAACGGTACTTGGGCGCATCGTGGCCTATTGCGGTTGTACCAGACAATGCCAAACTTGAACCGCGCCCACGCAGCGCGGCCGCGTTCGCAGAGCGCGAGGGTGGCGAGCAAGTCCATGGCGCGGCAGAAATCCTCGGCGCAGCCCTGGAGAAGTGGGCGGCGCGCGTCGTCATCGGCCCCCTCGAAAAGATAATCGAAGTCGCCCGCCGCCAACTGGGTCAGGGTGAACGGCGCGCACCTGGCGAGCCACTGATCAGAATCGTCAACAGGGGGGGTCGCAGAACACGCCGGGAAAGCACAGCTCGGCGACGCGCGCGACGACGCCCGCGAACTCGTCGGCGCGATCGCGGTCGGGGCCTGTGGGGGGGGGGGGGGGCGGCGACTGTCTCTGCGGCAGTCCAGCAGGAAGGTCGATAATATGCATGATAATATGCTCTATCTGAATGGCCCCACCAAGCTCCGCGAGCGAGGGGGCCTCGGGCGAATAAAAGTCCGGGCGGGCGAGGAGGTCAAATACGCGGCATCAACAACTAAGTGTCGGGGTGCATTGGCCTTTGCTGGGCCCCAACGGAGGCGCGCGGCTGGGGTCGCACCGTCGGCGTCAGACAGTCGGACAACATCCACATTCTCGGTCGACGGAAACAGGGATGCTGGGAGACCGTCCTCGGCTCGGAAATCACCACGCCGCCGCAGCACGACAGGGTAACTTGAGCCAAGATGCGTAGGGAGGAGGGAGAGGAACGCAACTGCCTCGATGATGAGTTCGGCAGCCACGTAGCACCTGCCCTGCCGCGGGGGAGCGCCTGGCCGTTTGCCTGATACGCGCCTGGGCCAGGCACACAAAAAAAACACGGGGCCACTCCTGTCGAGGCCTTTGGTGCGCAAAGCACGTGGCATTATACAAACAGGCGATGGAAACCAGCGACGAGGAAGAGGAGGAAGAGGAGGAGCAGGGGCGGGTAGAACATCTTCCAAAATCGAACCGGAAATTGGATCGCCTCGGAACGCGCGTCGGCTCGCGGCATGGAAAGCTGGAAATCAGAATATGATCGGCCGCGCCGGTTTCCACCACGGCGACGTGCAGGCAACGGAGAGCATCGGACTGTCCGAAGATCGCATACAAATCGGATAGGCATGGCCAGCGACGCCCGAGAGGGGGCGCCTCCAGGGTTCGCCCTTTACCGCCGACGCAACTACCCCACAAACACAGGCCACATTGGAGGTGCGCCGCTGAAGCGAGCCAAGCAATCACCGATTTCTGCGACGCGTGGCCTTGCGATGATGCGTGCCCCTGTTCCACAGCAGCTGAGCTGGAAGGTGGCGCGTGTACCAGTTACGTTAGGTCGGGGGTGTCTCCCCAGAGGCGGATTTGGAACGAAAACAACAAAAATATCTAAAAATAGTGAAACATCGTCCCCCGACTAGTTTTAAACTATTTTTGAAGACTCCTCCTGGAGAGGGAGAGGCCCGACTTAGCACTTACGTCACCACGGGGCTGAACGCCCAAAGGTGATAATGTCGGGGAGAGAGTGCTGGTCTTGCGGAAGCCTTCGCAGGCACAGGACACGACCATGGCCCAGGACCCTCAGCCGCCATCGAAGCGGCTCCCACCCC